TGGTGTTGTGGTCCAGGGTGACATATATATATATATATATATATATATATATATATATATATGTATAGCAATAAAGACAAAATCTGCACCACATTTTTTACATTAAATAGCTTTATTGAAACACTTAATTTCTCTTTCATTAATACATAAAGTTAATACATAAAGCTGAACACATATATTTATATATTTATTTCACTTTGCATATTACACAGTTCATGTATGAAAATATGTGTGATGTATATAAGAAAAAAGTGGTTGCTGAACCTAATAAGAAGGTAAAAAATACTAGATTGTGAATCAAAATAGCCATCTGCTTAGAATGTGCTTTCAGCGGAGTGATCAACCATGATTAAACATGCAGTGGCAGTGAGTCTAGTGACATTTCACATGCACAGTGTGTAGTTGTGTGCATGTGTGAATGAGTGTGACAGTTAGACAGCAGTTAAAGTGTAACAAGGCACACATTTTTTTTACAATAAAATCCCAATATAGCACAGCCAGGCTGTGATTAATAGTTTGGAGTTCACACTTCACACACTACACAATGAAATGTGTGATGTTTATTCCAGTGGAAGACTTTGCTCCATCTTTGTCAGAAGCCTTTATTGTCACCTTCAGTGACAGCTCTCAGACTCCATATGCATCGAGGGTTAGATTTCATAGAGCTTTCATTTATTGGTGAGTTACCTATGTCATCAGCACGGCTAAATTACTTCAAAGGCAGCTGGGCTGCTAAAGTCTGCTACCTCAAAAATTAAGGTCAAAGAAGCCCTCAAACCATTAATAAATCATAAATATGACACCAGACTCCTCGGGTGGACAGTGGAGATTTCATTTTTTATGCATTACAGTAAGTGGAGGGCTTGCAAATAAAGTTGCTGTGAAAGGTACTTCATCTGAGGTTGCATATCTGTTGCAGAAAAGGATGATTGTTGGCTGTGAGAGTTGAACGCAAAATGATCTTCTTTCTAAACATGCAATAAATAACCGTTTTTAACAGTTTTGTTCGTAGCAGTCGACACGTCAAGGTATTGTTGCTTTATTAAGATCAATATAATATAGATTGTTTCAAATGCATGCATTAATGCTTTTTAATGTAATATCTTTATTCATGTTGGTTTCATGCAAAGAATTTTTTTTAACTTTTATACCATTTTCCACAAAAGTTCTGAATTAATTTGATTTTGAATTGACTAACTTTAAAAGTGTCAAATGGTGTAACAATCCAGTAGAAAGTACAGCATACATACTTTCCGTACACTCTGAATCCATGTTGTTGTACGTATCATAATAGTTATTCTCAATCATTTTTAAGCATTTATTTATTTATTGTTTTAGTATATTACTTTTTTCTAGGGTATACAGCTGTTAATTTCTGATATCCACATCTACAGTAAATGAATAATACCACAATGTCAGAAAATAAGTAAATAAATAAATACACTTATACACATAATAATTTATTTCAATTTTCACATTTTTCACATTTTTAAAATAACATAAACATGTTTAAGGTAATATATTGTAGTATGTCCACCTTGACATTGCTGACCGCAAAAATGTTAAAATGACTTTGATTCAGAAATGTTAAACATATTCATCAAGAGGTGTTTTCAAGGCATTGTATATGCATGAAATGTTTCATGTTTTATGAATGCTTAATGATTTAATTAAAAAAATTATGTTTTATAATTTAATAGGTAAAAAAGTGTCATGTTATTGACCCATGGAAACCCCCCCCCACACACACACACTTATTGTCTTATATAAAATGTGGTGAGTACCAAATGACTGAGTAACAAATATTTTCAGCATATTCTCTGGCTGAGTTTATTTTAATGTAATGTCTTAATGTAATTAAATCATGGTCAAGAGAAATGGAAAAATAATTAAGAAACAACTGCATAACGTTGTGCCTAATAAACAAATGAGAAATGACAGCTCTCAAATTACCTATATATTTCCCAATGACCTTTTTTATTTTACTCCTTGTGGTGGTGGAATTGATGTATGATGAGAGAGACAAACTAATAAATATTTATATTTCTAGATAATTCTTTACTGAAATCAAGTTATGTCATCCATATGGATTTTATGCCTGATCCATTTTACTATCTGACTGATGTTCATCCATATAACATCTTTCACTGTCACGAGAGATGCAGAAAACCCTCTCACACGTGTAACTGTGTCATCAGCTGTATCTAATGGGTTTTGGCATTTTTCCACAGGCAAAAAGGCATCTCCATAAAGCAGGATTAAAGGAGGAGGCTTCTGCAGGCATTTTCAGCATTTGTGTCAGTGGAGCTACAGCACGCTCTACATCTAATGTATGAATATAACATCCCAGACCTCTTTTTTCTTTTTTTCTCATTTGCTTTTGATCTGCTTTGATCTTTTAATCCCAAGGATCCAATCAACAAAACAAATCTCCCATCCACTAGTTATCTCCACCCTTTTATTGCAGACAGATAATTCTCATATGAAAGTGAAACTGTATTTTGCTAATGAATGAAAATGAAGTCTTAAAATATACAGATTAAAGATATCACATAGGACATGTAGTATTTGTTAGATGTAAAACAGTTGAAGTCTTGTGTTTTTTTTATGGCTTAACTTGATTAATTAATGCATGCTATGTTTGGAGCATGTTGGAATTAATAATAACTTGCGATCTCACACAATCTGTCATATTTCATATTATACATTTTGTTTACAGAAAATAAGACCTGTTTTTATAGCCATTAAGAATGTATCACTGTCACATTAGTTTTAAGACTGATATTCCCCCAAATTCCATGCTTGTAAAGCATGCGGAAAATAAATAAAAATAAATAAATAAATACTTTACAATAAACCGTTGGCACATTTTACTTTTTTCTTAGTATATTACTTTTTCCCTATTATATACAGCTATTGAAAATGAATACGAAAATGAAATGTATTTCCAAAACCTCTTAATACAGCAATATCATAATATTTATTTATTTAGGCTATTTTAAATAAATAAATTATTGTACTTTTTTTGTTATTACATTTGCTTTGTGAACTTATCACACATTTACATGAAAATAAATTTAAAAAATCACAATGACTAACAATTAAATACACAGAAACAAAAGAATATATATATTTTATATATATATAATATAATATATATATTTTAGGATTTTAGAAGGAGGATTGATCATGATAATAATCATCAGTAGGAAATTTAAAGAATTATTTTTATTTTTGTCAGTATATTAGGTTATATAGGCCTACAGCTGTTAATTTTTGATATCCACATCTAAAGGAAATTTCCTTTGCCTGTATGAAAGTGAAATAACATATTCCCAAATACCCTAAATAAATAAATAAATACATTTCATTCATTCATTTTTATTCTATTTTAAGCAAGTGAGTAGTTGTCTGCGTCCACCCCTCTGATTGGCCTCTCATGGTGCATTCCAGGAAGCTGCTCTCTTCGCTGAATTAAATCATCTGACGCGCGCGCTGTCTCCCCATTCTCTGGTGGAATAATCCGCTCGAGCCGGTTGCCCGAGCAGCAGCAGCAGCAGCAGCAGCAGCATCGGTGGCACTGAAGCAGGTTGTTTGAGGACTGAATGTCGTACTGACTTCTGAGGGGACTCGCAGCCGTGACAGGGGACGAGGACAGAGAGGCTGTTAGGATGGCTTCAAACTTCAACGATATAGTGAAGCAGGGCTACGTGAGGATTCGGAGTAAGAAACTGGGGGTGAGTACAGTCAATATCTGCTGGACGTTACTGTGTGCTCAGTCATTTTGAAGCGTCTGTATTTAAAAGGGCTTTAGGGAGCGCGTGCTGATCAAGAACATGCTATCAACTTGCACGAGCAACTCCAGCTACTTTTGGTTTTATTCTTAATGGCCAGTTATTTATTGATTGATTTATTTTAGCATATATGTACTATTCAGTATATACATCTTAAATCCTGCTCTGATGTAATCCATATAAACAAGTAGATAATTATTAAACAATGATAATAATCGCTTTGGCTTATTGATTGTGCTTTGAGCAAATGTGGGTTGTTTAAAATTTGTTTTTAACATAAACAGAGTAATTGCTTTAGGCAATATTATTTTTTTATTTAACTAGCTATGTTTTTATTATCAAAGTTGTAATGGACTTTTATGTCTGTTGTGTAGATTAAGTTTATTACATTTTAAAAAGTTAATCAAGAATCTACTGTCTTCAGTAGTTTTTTTTTTTTTGCCTGTATGAGAAGACACATTAGTCAAGTCTACAGATGCAGCATCATCTGTTTATTGTCCTCCTGATTCTGCAGCAGTGAATAGAGTGAGTACTGTAGGTCATCAGGTCTGTGTGATACAGCAGGTGAATTCATCCAACCAGGAAAGATTAATACATTCATACACAGTCCTATGATATATGTAAACTATGCTGATTATAGTTTTATAGGAGAGTAGGAGGTTTGATGAGGGTTTTTACAATTTTGTTTATGAAATTTGTTTTAGTGAAATGCCCCTTACTGTTCCAATGCAGTGTTAATTTCAACTTTACACATTATACACAATATGCAAAACAAGTAAATAGTTATATATATATATATATATATATAAGAAATATTTTTTTTTTATTATTTCAATTTACTTTGAATAAAAATGAATGAAAAAAATGAATGAAATATATAGAAATTCCTCATTTTATTTATTTTATAAATATATAAAATAAAGAAGTAAACATGAAGAAATATTTACATTTCTTCATTTGTATTTTTCTTTTATTTATTTTACCTAAAACAATGGTGCAGTATTTATAACAGTATTTATTCTATCTATATTTATGTCATTTACAAATGAACTAATAATAAACAGATTATTTGTCAATACTTTCAGAATTGCCTTTTTTGCAATAATACATAAATATATCAGACATTTTGGTCAACACTTGATGTGTCATATTTGTCTTTAATTCAAGACTTTTTTTTTTTTTAGCTATAAAATATAAATATAACTAAAAGTTCTAATCAATACTCAAATGTCTTAGGGATGTTTGACCACAATGGTTTGTTTTCGCCCCTAGACACTGGATTTGAGATATGAGATAAAGTCTATTTCCACTGATATTGCTTCCATAGTGTGAGCTCGCTCTAAATGCATTATTTGAAGTGCAGCTTCATATTGCGTGCTGATTTTTATTGGTTAGATAAACTTACCAGCTGTATTTCAGATATACATTAGCCTGTAAATATACAGAAGTGATCACATCTCATTGAAACACAGATAAAGAAAACTGCACAGTGATGCCACATTTGTTCTTGAATGCAGAGCATAGAATTGCTATCTAATAATACTGTGACGAAACTATTACTATTATTACCTATAGCTAAGTATTACCACTATTATTATTTTTCCAATATGTGTGCTATCATGGTCGCATTTGCCATTAATTGAACAGAATGAATTTTAAAAAAAGAAAAACGTGTAAAAGCATATTAGTTAAGTTGCTTTGAAATCCGTGTAAAACCCTGTAATGTGAATTTACAGTTCAGTGCACCTGACATTAACTGACCTTCTCACATAAACGTAATGCCCTTTGAACCCACGGACTTCTGCACCTTTGGCATTTTCCCATTCGACACATATTTGTGTATAAATACAACCGAACCTTTAGAGATTACATAAATATTAGTATAAATGTTAATGATAACCATCCAATCGAAACAGTAGAAATGTGATGTTTAAAACTTTTTACTGCTATTTAAAACGCCTCTATTACTGGTCTTTATCAGCCATTTGTATCATTTTGTGTGTAATCTGTTCATCTGCTGAGCTATGCTGATGAAACAGGCAGCTGCTCCTTTGAAGACTGCTTTAGAGGGAAGGACTACTTGTTTCATCAGTGCTGGCGCAGTCTTTTTTTAGGGCAAGTATCATGTTTTGAACAGCAGGATCAGCTTAGGGTTTCCCTCTGATGTCTCTCTCTGTTCCTCTCGTTTTCCCTCTCCTCTCTTTCTCAATCTTTTAAGACCTAGACATGTAATGCAAATGAGTAACTAAATGGGGAAAAATTACTAATACAAATGAAGTCATTTTTGGGCAGTTTCCACAAAAAGGGTAGGAAATATGGTTGTAAGTGTTAATTTTTTTAAATATTTTTTCATCTTTCAATAAATGGTCAGTGAAAGCAGATGCTTAACCTCAAGAAAATGTTTATCGCACAGCCACAGGAGGTTAATATTATATGAGCTGTGTTATTTTCTATTTATTCTATTCATCTCAATTAAGCTGTCACTCAGTAGAGACGATCTGGTTTGGGATCAAATCGTCACCTTGGAATTATAAGGTTCTATCTTCATTTTGAGCAGTTTCGAGATATTGAGCTTCAAAGTTTTTGCGTTCCATTTGGTGATATTAAGAAGTCTCTTTCATACATCAGTCCCAAAATGTAAACAACTTAAAAAAACAAAACATCACATCATTTAAGTTGTCACAGAATAAGAATATGTGAATAACTCAATTCTGATTAAAAAAATGGCAGATATAGCCTTATAATAAGGTGACTAAATATTTATTTGATCATTTTTTCATGTGATCAAATATGAAAGGCATTTTTCAGGCACATTAATGTGGTAACAGGGATGAATGCTTGAGCCTGACAAATGCAGATGATTTTACTACTTGACTGTGACCATTTTAAAAACTTTCAAAAGTTTGTGGTTGGTAAGATGTTTTAATGTGTTTGGAAGAAGTCTCTTATGCTCACCAAGGTTGCATTTATTTGATCATGGAAAAAAAAAGTAAAACAGTAATATTGTGAAATAATAATGTTACAATTAAAAATCAGTTTGAATGTATTTTAAAATGATACAAAGCTGAATTTTCAGCATCATTACTCTAGTCTTTAGTGTCACATGTAATATGCTGATTTGGTGCTGAAGAAACATTTCTTATTATCATCAATTTTGAAAACAGTTATGCTGCTTTATATTTTTATGGAAATTGTGATACTTTTTTCAGTATTTTTTGATGAAGAGAAAGATCAAAAGAACAGCATTTATTTGAAATCGAAACATTATAAATGTCTTTGCTGTCACTTTTGACCAATTTAATGTATCACTGCTGAACAAAAGCATTAATTTCTTTCAAAATAAAAAAATCTTACTGTCCCTCTTGGGTGGGACTGGCCAAAATCATTATTTTAAATGGGCAATACAAATGTTTAATGTGTTTAAAACTAGTTACTTTTCATGTTAGGTTAATTTTATCATAGATTTCATTTCATCACATATGATTCGTGCTTATAATGGGTTACAAATGATCAAACTGTACCATAATTAGGGAAAGTGCCTTTTACGCCAACTGTTGGTATGATGTTAGTTTAATTTCTGTCTGAGCAGTAGACAGTGGATGGCATTACTTTACATGTCATCAGGGCCTTTTCCATGTAAACACTGTCCTTACTAAAATGCCCTTTACCCTTGGATAATTTCCCATGTCATCTGTTTATGTCGTCTTTGTTGTCCCATACAATCACTGTTTAGGACACTTACAAACAGCTTTATAATGCATTGTGAATCCACAGAGAATCAACCAGGCTTACCCTGGAGCGGTCGACTTAAAGCGGCCTTTCCTCTCAACACTTCCAGCGGAACTGTAATCTTATTTAAGCTGTTGTTGCAAGCCAGTACTTGACCCATATATGAGAACTGTGTTTTGTCATCTGTCTCTATGTACAGGCAGTTTAGTAATGCCGGCGATTAATGTTTGACAGAGATCATCCTACATGAGGTTTTGGACAATGAAAGTGTCTAGCAGTAAAGCCCATCTGATATAGGTATACATTGTCTCTCACTCCATGTTAAAACATGTCATGTCAAACAGCTGGCAACTTGCAATTTGATATACACTCTAGTTGTAGGTAAATAAGAAAATCCTATTTCAGTCTTTCTACTTCAAAATTGCATGTTTAATTCAGTGTGTTACTTGCAATTTCTTTGTAATTATTTTTGAAATGATTTCCGAGTAAAAATAGTTTTTCACTGTAGATATTTATTTATTTTTTTTAGCTAAAAGGGGAATTAAAAAAAAAATACATTTAGATAATGTATTTAAAAAAATAAAAAATGCTGTAAATGTCACATCAGTGTCACAAATTTATTACTAATGCAGAATATAATTTTTTTAATTGTTTAAAATGTTTTAATATGTTCAAAATCCTAAAATTGTGTTTATTTTCAGGTAAATTTACTAGCAATCTTTTATTTTTAAAAAGTAAATTATTAAAAAAATTATTTTTAAAATAAAAAAACGCTGTCAATGTCATTAATTGTCACAAATTTACTAAGAAATAATGCAAAATATTAATTATTTCTTTATTTGTTTAAGTAAAATTTGCTTCAAAGTAAATCTTAAACTATTTTTTCAGTGTAGGGAAAAATCTTTGTTTAAAATAAAAAGAATTAATAATTTTTTTAATAAAAAAAATGTTAAAAAACAATCAAAACTGCTGTAAATGTCACATCAATGTCACTAATTTACTTATTTGATTAATGACCTAAAAATAATAAACAAAAAAAGTCTTAATTGTTTAAAATGTTCAAAATCATAAAATAGTGTTTATTTCCAGGTTTAAATGAGATTTTGGAATCAGGTTTTCTCAGACTTTTGGACCCCACTGAAAGTGTCCAAATTCAATATAGAAAACTGTATTTTTTCTATATAACATGCTTAGAAAGAATGTAATGCGTACTA